CATTCTCCCACGCCCTCGCCCGCCCACTCCGCTCCCAAACAGTGACTCACCCTTTCGCTCCGGGGCGGCCGCGGCTCGGCCGGCGTCAAAGCGGAGCGAGGAGAACCTGTGCGACTTCTCACGGAGAAATCCCCAACCGCGGAGTCCTCCCCTCCGCCAGCCTTTAAAGGTGCAGCGAGGGAGGGGCTTGGCAGGCCGCGCCCCGGGCGCTGGGCGCAAAGGTGCAGGGCCCGGAGCAGACCGCCCGGCCCCGCGCCTGCGGTCCGTCTGGCAAAGTTCTTTGGGTGCCGCTCCTGGCAAGTTTCAGGGGTGGGGCCGGAAAGGGATTCCCCACCCCCGTCCCCGGCCTGATTCCGGAACCGCTCCCTGACGGCGAGGAGTGGGTTTCAGGGGCGCTGGTGTTTACTCAGAGGGTGTCGCCCGGCCAGGGTCAGAAGGTGGGTTTTCAAGCCTCACTGGGTTGCTTGGCAGCCTTAGTCATGAGCCGCCCCAAGGCAGCCCTAGGTTGAGCGGGGAGGGTGTTTCCAAGTTAATGAGACCAATAATACTTTCCCTTCGGTGACTAACCAGCGTGTCATTTGTCCTGTTAATTGATTTGCTTCTCGTTTAGTATAAGAAACCGTAACCAAAATAAACAGGGAAAGAAGAATTCCCAGCTCAGTGGAACCCTGCGCTTTTCTGCAGCATTGGGGGCAAATGCAGCCACGTGTGCTTTCTTCGATGATGAGTTCAGTCTCGTTGTTGTCATGATAACTGAAAAGGTTACTGTTTAAAAAAATTCTCGAGACTCCACATTTCCTTGAAGTTGCTCGTCATATGACTGCTGCCCGGTTATCTAAGCTGTAGAGAGCCTAATCAGGATGAACAAGGAGAGGGAACTTGGCCAAATCTATATTGGATTTAACTGACAGGTGTGATTTATGTTAATATCAACTTCCAGACAGGGTAGTCATGGGTAGCATTTGCTCTGGCTTATAGTCAACAAAATAACCAGAGGCATCTTTGTGTATGTAGTGGAGATAAAATGTTGGTAAACAATCGTCTTGTCTTTGGTTCTTTCTTAAACAGCCCACTTGGTAAAGGAGCTTGCCAAAGCGGACACTTTAACCGACAACTCTGGGGTGTTGTCATATGACAGACATTTTTCCCAAATGAAAATGCTCCTGAATTAAGCAAAGGCTCAACAGTATCTATAAAGCTATAGGGTAGTAAGGAACCAGAAGAGCCCATTGACAACTGAAATTTATATTTCCTAAGCTTATTTTTCCTTTTCAATAAGTAGCTTGTCCCCAGTTTTACAAATCCCAGGCATTTTGCCCAGAAGGTAATAGTAAATGGATTGGTTTGCTAGGAGGCAAAGTAAATGGAAATTCAAACCAGTAGTTTTTTTACAGATAGTCACAAATCTGATTCAGACGTGTGAGTACCCTGTTCCTTGGTAACACAGAAAGACTAGATTTAACCTTCTCGTTACCATATGATATTTTGTTTATAAGATTTTATAAATATAATGCTGTTGTTATTAATGGACTGCATACAGAACCATTGTGTTTTAAAATGTTTGTTAGGTAGGATGAATTTGAGAAATATCCTGTGGGGCAAATATGTCCCAACAGACTCTGGCAATAAGATAGTTGGATGAGGTATGGGAAAAATTCTTTTTCACTTGAATATTACCTAATACGGAACACCGCAATTTCCCAATTTGCTAGATACCATCAAGTCGGTTCCAACTCATCTGGACTCTGTACAACAGAGTAATACATCCAGTCCTGTGCCACACTCACAACTGTCCTTATGTTTGAGCCCCTCGACGCAGCCACCAGGTCAAACCATCTGACTGAAGTCTTCCCTTTTTGCTGGCCTGCTACTTTTCCAAGCATGATGTCTTTCTCTAGAGACTGGTCTCTCCTGACCGCATGTCCATGAGATGAAGTCTTGCCATTCTTGCCTCTAAGGAATATTCTGACTGTATTTCTTCCAAGACAGATTTGCTTGTTCTTTTGGCAGACCATGGTGCTTTCAATATTCTTTGCCAGCACCGCAATTCAAAAGCATCAATTCTTCTTTGGTCTCCCTTATTCAGTGTGCAACTGTCACATGCATAGAAGGCAATTCAGAATACCATGGCTTGAATCAGGTGTACCTAATATTGAAAGAAACGTCCTTGCTTTTCAACATTTCAGTGTACACAGGTAATAATAAGTACACTTATGAGCTTTAACTCACTGTTATTAAGTGCAAAGAGACAAAAGTTTTACAAAACCCTCGCCTCTAGTTTGCTCTACTTCATACAAGAATCTCTCAGCACAGAAATACTAGGGATCTTCAAAAAGTTTATGGGAAATGGAATCACAAGATAATGAAGTCCTCTTACATATCATCAATGAACTGCCTTCTCTTTTATATCATTATTGCAAAACTTTATGTGGGGAGAAAAATATCCCAAGGAACAAAATGTAAGAAATACTTACGTGTTTTAAGAATGATGAGGGCGATGAATGTACAAATGTGCTTTACACAATTGATGTATGTACGGATTGTGATAAGAGTTGTATGAGCCCCTAATAAAATGATTAAAAAAAGAAAGAAATACTTATGTGCACCTCGGGCTATGAAATATTTAAATGTGTAACAAGTTTGGGTGAATAGCCACCCAAATATTTGGACATAATGGAGATTGGTATAAATAAAATATTCTAAAGTGCTATCAAAAATAATGATGTGAAATTTTGGGCCTATGTATATGATTGGTTTACATGTTCCAAACAGCCAGCAGTCCATTTATCACAGTTGTCTGACACACATCTCATTGCTCCACCATTAAAAAATAATAATAAAAAGCCTCTGTCTGAACAAGAGACTTTTTCATGGTTAGTTTTGAATTTGGGGTCAGAATTGATTCGATGGCAGTAAGTTTGGTTTTGGAGTTTTATTGTGATTCATTCCATCTGATCAGGCCTATGTTCATAGTCACTGTTTGTGTTGTTGAAAAGAGACATTTCCAATGAATATATCACTGGGCTTTTAAAGTTCTTTTGTGTGATTTCCATTTGGTGTTTTGATCACCAAGGCCATATTTTCAAACTACTGATCCTTCATTGTTTTTGACTTTTGCATTTCAGTTATCAGTAATACACAAGAATTGAGTGCATCTGTGGAAAGGTGGGGCTTCCTACTCCAGTAAAGAATTACAGTCTCAGAAACCTTCAGGGGTGGTTCTATCCTGGCCTTTGGGGCTACTATGAGTTGGCATCAACTCACTGTCGGTGAGGTATTTTTTGAGAGAGTGAAAAGAGGCGGTAGAGAACTCAGTATAAGTCAGAACACAACCAGGAGTTTGACTTGGGAAGAGGCCATCAATTGCTCATATATAAGTGGAAGCTAAAGCTAAAACAAGGCTGCCAGAGCCAAATGATGATCTTGAGTATATTCCACCTGAATTTAAAAAATCATCTCAAGAACAGATTGACCCAAAGACAAACCAAGTTGTGGGATGGCATCAAGGACAGCATATATGGAGAAAGCAAGAGGTCATTAAAGGGACAGGAAATAAGAGATCAAAATCTATGTCAAATAGAGTAGCTAAACAAATGGAAGAAATGTCGAAAAGAGCTGAATGGATTTCACAGGGCAGCTTAATAAGACAAAGTATTATAATAAAATGTACAAACACCTGGAATGAAAAACAAAAAGGAAGCACACACTCAGCATACCTTGAACTGAAAAAAAGAAGAGGAAGAAGAAAAGTTCAAGCCTTTAGTTGAAATATGGAAGGATTCTGTGGGCATAATATTGAGTCATGCAGCAAGTATTAAAACAAGATAAAAAGAATATACAGAGTCACTGTAGAAAAAAATAATTGGTCAATAGTCATTTCAGAAGGTAGCACATGATCAGGAATTGGTGTTTTAAAGGAAGAAATCCAAACTACACTGAGGGCATGGGCAAAAAACAAGACTTCAGAAACTGGCAGAATACCAATTGAGATATTTCAATAAACAGATGTGTGAAGTTAGAAGTACTCACGCATCTATGCCAAGAAAATTTGAAGATAGCTAACCAATTGACTGGAAGATACCCATGTTTGTGCCCATTCCAAAGAAAGGTATGATCCAACAGAATGGAAATTATCAAACAATATCATTAATTTAACATGCAAATAAAATTATACTGAAGATAATTAAAAAACAGTTAAAAAAAAACAACAAAAAACAGTTGCACCAGTACACTGACAGGGAACTGCCAGAAATTCAAGCCAGATTCAGAAGAGGATAGGGAATGATGGATATCATTGCTGCCATACTATAGATGTTGGCTGAAAATGGAGAGTACAAGAGAGGTGTTCAACTATGCTTTTTATTGATAAGCATCTTAGGCTGGGTTCTCATATATGTATATAGTTTTGTTTGTAGATGTAGATAGATAGAGATACTTGTATCGAACCAATGACTCACACCATTGCAGAAGTGAGCAAATCCAATCCAAGTCCAGGCTAGTTCCAAGTCTGTTTTGCTAGAGACTTCTCCAATCTCTATGGGGGCTGGTCAACCCAAGATTGGCAGGAAGAAAACAGGCTTGTGGCTGCAGAGGCCAATGAATCCAAGGTGGGCAGGCAATATGGCAGGCCATTGACTTGAGTCCATAGAATTGGAGGTCGATGAACCAGGTGCAGGATCTAGATCCAGCCAAAGGCAAGTAATCTTTTCCGCATAGTTAACTTATACTGAAGCAAGCCATACCCCTTCAAACATAAGAACAACTGTGAGGATGGAGCAGGACCAGGTGGTATTTCATTCTGTTGTGCATAGGATCACCATGAATTGGTATCGAATCAATGGCATCTAACAACAATGAACATACCTCTGAGGAAATTTCCTTTTGACTGATTGCATCAGAGCTGTGATCTGAGTGAGGGTGTTGTCTCTCACTCTAGTCTTATTACGGATTAGCTGCTTATAGCAGATCCTTTTATGGAAATCATTTCATTGGATTAGATTGCATCATGGGGGATTACTAGGTCTTAACTGCCAGGCCACTGAGAACCCTGGCCCAGGCAAGTTGACACAAAACATATCAAAACGATGTAATGCATTAACCTGTGTGGATCAACAAATTATAG